CCTCCCGGACCAGGGCACGAACCCGCGTCCCCTGCATCGGCAGGCGGACTCCCAACCACTGCGCCACCAGGGAAGCCCCAGGGGACTCGCTTTTAAAATTTAACTTAGAAGATTACTAGCGGGATGGATAGGTGGTGAAGGGCAGGCGGGGAGAGAAGTGTGCTACAGCGAGGTCAAAGCAACATTCCCTCTTCGCAGGGCTATTTGGTGGAAATACGTCTGACTGGCCAGCCATGTCACCAAGCACGCTGCCACCAATAGGCCGGGGTGGGGGGGGGTGGTGGTAATCGTCCATCTCCAACGGTTTACTTTGCTGGTAGCTATTCAAGCACACTCAGAGTCCAGATGGATGCACAGGACCATCCTTTACTTCACATCAGGCCATACGTTCCAACCCTTACGGCACCCACAGGGACGGGGGCGTTGGAAGCTGTCATTGCCCACCCCAAGCCAGGCTCCTGTGGTCACCCTCTCGTGGGCGCTGGGGGGGAGCTCTTCTTTTGTTCCCCGTGGCCCCTTCCCCTACTTTGGTGTGGTCGGGTGGGGAGATTGAGGCCCTCACTGCGGTCTAGCTTCAGGGTAGAGTAACCACAAGACAATCAGACTGCAAAATTAAACTCACCAGAGCAGGGTTCCTCTGTGCTTTTATGCTAAAAGAGCCTCTTTGTAGTATCGCGTCGTATTTCAAAAATGTCCTCTTGTGTGTGTTGGGGTGTGGGAGGGTAGATACATACATATTGGTCCCAGGAAGGAATGGGGAAGGGGAGAGAAGTCATTCCCACTGCATTTATCACATTCTGTGTAAATTTTCAAAATCCATTTGTGGTTAATAGGAGATGCTGCATTCTACCTGCACAGGTGAACCTAGGTAGTTATTTCAAAAATGGTAGCCCTGGGACTTCCCTGGCGGTCCAGTGGTTAAGACTCCACCCTTCCAAGGCAGGGGGCACAGGTTCGATCCCTGGTTGGGGAACTAAGATCCCATGTGGCGTGTGGCATGGCCAAAAAACAATTTTTTTAATTAAAAAAACATTTCTTAAAATGGTAACCCCAGCTCCATCCCCACCAAGGTAATATTTTCCACTGAGTCAATAATGCAAAACAAGCCCATTTTCCCATGAGGTGAACAACACAGCAGGTTAGAAACACACCATCCGTGGATTTTGCTCCTAACAAAAGCACCTTATAAAAAGGAGCATTTTAAATGAGACCCAGGACACAAATACCCTTAAAAGTTGCAACACTGAGAAAGAGAAGGTGTCTGCACAAAACAGCATGTTCCATGATTCCCCTGAACCTTAGGACGGACGGCTCTCAGGCCAGAGTCTGTCATGGACTCACGGAGTAACCCCGCCCCTGCCCCATGCCTGGTCCAGCCCTGTCAGCTCTGGGCTGCAGCCCTTCCCCGCCAGGAAAGTGGAACCACACCTCAAACAAACTCCCCTGGGAGAACCAACTTCTACCAGAGCCCCCGCCATCTGGACAGCCTCAGAAACTTAAGCTCAAGGACCGAGAGTATAGCCAGGTCCCCTCAGTTTTATTTTCCTTACAGTTGATTTTTTTTAATGTTCGGTAAATGGTTTTAGAAAAAGAAGAACCACTTTCAGAGGTTCGTAGATCGGAACGCTGTTTCAACTTTGGGCCCAAGGAAATGCAAAAGGAGACCGATTCTAGATCACTATAGCCCCTATCCTCCTGCTGCCACCCACCTAAAGATAAAAGGATGGTCTCGGTGATGAGGACCCCACAACTGAAGCCCCCATGGATTTCTCCCATCTGGAGTAATGATACTTACAAAGCAGGTTTTTCTGGTAGGACATTGAAAGGACACGGAGCCATCCTTTATCCTTATTTCCAACTTTTGGGTAACATTTTTCAGTTTTTTCCACGTAAGTTTTCTTTCTCTCGTTTGTCTCCACATCTCCAGGAGGTAGATAAAGGAGGTAAGCTTTCCATTTTGGCCCTTAGGGGGAAACGAAGGGCCACAGTGATAAAAAGAAGTTATGTGCAACCTTGGTGTGAATTGCAGACAAAGCTAGAGCTGGGGCAGAACAGGGGCGCCTCCAAGGGGCACCCACCCCAGAGGAGAGGGGCGTGTACGATACTGGGTAGCCTTGACCTCTGCATTGCTGCACACGGCGGCTCTGCTAAGACCTTCCATCTCCTAACTGATGGAAGATGGAAGGACTCACACCTCCTCACTCCCAGCCCGGCGCCCCTGCCCCACAAGCAAACCGCAAGATCTGGTTTGGGACCCCAGAAGGTGGCGGAGGAGGTGTCCTGGCAGAGCGCACCCCCATCTCAATTACGGCCTTGGCAGGGCCTGGCCAGGACTCACAGCTGGGTCACGTTCTTCATGCTTTTTTGTTTTTGTTTGGTTTTTTATTGACATATAGTTGCTTTACAATGTTGTGTTAGTTGCAGGTGTACAGCAAAGTGATTCAGTTATATATATATATTCTTTTTCAGATTCTTTTCCATTATAGGTTATTACAAGATATTGCATATAGTTCCCTGTGCTCTACAGTATGTCCTTGTTGATTATCTATTTTATATATAATAGAGTGCCCCTCCTCCCCTCCTTTCGCCTTTGGTAACCATACGTTTGTTTTCTGTGTTTGTGAGTCTGTTTCTGTTTTGTAAATATGTTCATTTATATCATTTTTTAAAAATTAGATTCCACATATGAGTGATACCGTATGATATGTCTTTCTCTTTCTGACTTACTTCACTTAGTATGACCATCTCTAGGTCCATCCACATTGCTACAGATGGCATTATTTCATTCTTTTTTATGGCTGAGTAATATTCCATTGTATATATGTACCACATCTTCTTTATCCATTCCTCTGTCAGTGGACACTTAGGTTGCTTCCATGTCTTGGCTGTTGTAAGCAGTGCTGCCATGAATATTGGGGTCCATGTATCTTTTCAAATTAGAGTTTTGTCTGGATATACGCCCAGGAGTGGGATTGCTGAATCACATGGTAGTTCTATTTTTAGTTTTTTAAGCAGCCTCCATACTGTTCTCCATAGCGGTTGCTCCAGTTTACATTCCCACCAACAGTGCAGGAGGGTACATTCTTCATGTTTTTAAAGACAATTTATTAAAAGAAAACAGGAAGTGAGTGAGCAGAGGAAAATGGCTGGTCTTGAATTGACAGTAATGTTCTCTCCCCACCTTTTGAACAGTCCTCCATGAGAAATATATGCTAAAACATAGAAATAGGGGGGTAAGTGGTTTATGTCTTTTACACATATTCTGCAACATTGACATTTTGTAGCTTTGGGTTTATATAACTAGCACTTTTTATCTCCTCTATCAAAGCGTCATTTTCAAAATATTAGAAACGTGGCTCTCATACCCTCATATATATACTAAGCACATTTATTCAACCCATTAATGAGGGAATCAACGGGATGGGAAAGCTGCTTCTCAGAGCATCTGAAGAGCAGAGATGTATAGTCAGTTGGAAAGAAAACACTGAGATAAGTTAAGTGTCTTAGTCTGTTCAGCTGCTATAACAAAATACTATAGACTAAGTAGGTTATAAACAACAAAAATGTATTTCTTCCAGTTCTGGAAGCTGGGAAGTCCAAAATGATGACACCAGCGGATTCAGTGTCTGGTGAGGACCCCATCCTGATTCATAGACAGCTGTCTTCTCACTTTGTCTCACATGGCAGAAGGGGTGAGGGAGCTCTCTGGGGTCTCTTTTATAAGAGCACAAATCTCCATCTCCATGACCTAATCACCTCCTAAAGGCCTCACATCCTAATACCCTCATCTTGGGGGTTAGGATTTCAACATGAATTCGCAGGGGACACAAACTCAGTTCATTCAGTTCATTGCACTAAATTACATACAAAACTGGTTAATATTCTATGGTACAATAAAACTGTAACATCGGAGTTTTATTGTAAGTTTTCGTTTTTTTCCTCAAAAAACTAAAAATAGAGCTACCATATGACCCTTCAATCCTACTCCTGGGCATCTATCCAAACAAAACTGTAATTTGAAAAGATACATCCACCCGAATGTTCATAGCAGCACTATTTACAATAGCCAAGACATGGACGCAACCTAAGTGTCCATCGACAGATGAATGGATAAAGAAGATGTGGTATATATATACAATGGAATATTACTCAGCCATAAAGATGAAGGAAATAATGCCATTTGCAGCAATATGGATGGACCTAGAGATTATCATACTAAGTGAAGTAAGTCAGAAAGAGAAAGACAAATACCACACGATATCACTTACGTGTGGAATCTAAAATAGGACACAAATGAACTTATCTACGAAACAGAAACAGACTCACAGATACAGAGAACAGACTTGCAGTTGCCAAGGAGGTAAGCGGGTCGGGGAGGGATGGGTTGGGAGTTTGGGGT